GTATACATGGTTATATACATACACATATATATATATGCACATATATATATATGATATATATATTATATATACTATATATTATATATTACATATATTATATATAGTATATATATTTAACATTATATATTATATACATGTATACATATATATATATATATAAATATATATATTATACATATATATATTATATTTATTATATATATTATATATTTGAGGGTCTGCTATGTATAGATACGTCGCAGTAGAGAAAGACGTCATATAAATTATAAATAAGCCGCGCACGTAAATACAAACAGATAAATATATAAACCCTTCTTCTTTTATATTAATATACTGGTGCACATACTTTTGTATATGTACATATATATATGTATATCTATAATATAATATGCAAAGATAGTAGTAATACATATATACATCTATACATATATATATATATATATACATATATATATATATATATGTATATGTGTGTATATATAGATATATAGATATAGATGTATATGCGTATATATGTGTATATATAGATATAGATGTATACATGTATATATGTGTATATATAGATATATATATAATATATATAATATATAATATATATATATATTATATCTATATCTATATCTATATATATATATATTAGTATTTGTACACCACAGCAGAATCGGCTTTAAATATTTTTTAGTTTTGTCTGTAATGACGAAAACAACGCGCACCCAAGTAGAGCAAATAAATATATATAATTATATAAATACGTATATTTATGTATTTATATGCATAGTTATATATATAATATAAGTTAATATAATATAATATACAATATAATATATAATATAGATTACATACTATATATATTATACGTAATATATAAATATAAATATACATATATATATATATATTTTGCATGCATTATATATTGTATATATTATATGAATAAATGTATACATACACAAAGCAATGCATACATATATATAAATATATATGTATATATATATATATATTTGTACATATAAATATATATAAATATATGTAAAAATATATATTTATATATATTTATATTTGCATAGAAATGTATAAATACAGACATTCAAGAACCTGCAGCAACAGCAACACCTAGACATTGAGACCCAACCGCATGCATGCATGCATGCATGCATGCATTGTTGCATGCATGCATGCAATAATGCATGCACGTTGTGATGCACGCATGCGTCTTTGCATGCAAACGCGTCTGCATGCAGATTGCATGCGTTTTTGCATGCGTTTATGCTGCATGCATTTTAAATGCATGCAAACACAGATGCCTCTCCTTATAAACCGCTTTATGCATGCATGCATGCATCAGCGCTGCTGTATGCATGCATGCATACATGCATGCATCAGCGCTGCTGTGTGAATGCATGCATGCATGCATGCATGCATGCAAGGCATTAAGTGAGGAAGGGACTGGGTTCATTTTGTATTATTTTGTCTCTGTTTGTTTTATTTTGTCTCTCTTTGTTTTACTTTGTCTCTGTTTGTTTTATTTGTTTATTTATTTATTTGTTTATTTATTTATTTATTTATTTATTTGTTTATTTATTTGTTAAAGAAAATAATCTGGCACCCCGCGGAGTTCTTCTGCGCCTTCGAGTTGTTCTGGAGAGGCATCGAATTGAATGCTGCACATACACCCCAATTAAAACATGCATGCATGCATGCGAATAAAGAATTGAATGCTGCATATACACCCCAATTAAAACATGCATGCATGCATGCAAATAAAAAATAAATGCTGCATATACACCCCAATTAAAGCATGGATGCATGGATGCATGCATGCATGCATGCGAATAAATAAATGAATGTTGCACATACACCCCAAATAAAACATAATATGCATGTGAATAAATAAATGAATGCTGCACATACACCCCAATTAAACGCATGCAAATAAATAAATGAATGATAAGCGCATTAATTGTATGTTATTTTATTTTATTATATTTTATTGTTTTAATTCTTGTGTACGTAGGAGCAGTAATTCACGTTATACTATATTACATTACACCTTATCCGATTCTAAATAAAATAAAATAAAATAAAATAAAATAAGATTAAATTAAGATTAAACTAAATTGAGGTGTACGTACAAGGAGTAATTTAGGTTTTCATCAATTTGTAATATTGCAGCTTTATTACCGCAGCGATAGCAGTAATTAGGCGCAGAGAAGAGAGTTAATACATTCTTTCCTTGACACCATTGATAGCCCTTTGAATACACAAATAAATAAATAAATAAATTAATTAATTAATTAATTAGTTAATTAAATCCTTTTATTTAATTAAACAAACAAATCTACTCAATTATCTACATCTTATGCAGCAAAAACAAAAAAAAAACAGTAATTGAGTATTTGATTAATAAACAAATAAACAAATAAACAAATATATTAAATTAATTAATTAAACAAACTAATAAATAAAATAAAATAAAATAAAATAAAATAAAATAAAGCTTTAATTACCTCCATAACGAGTTGGTGCGCTCTCGTTATACACTGCAATCCATTAGACCTCAAAAACCTCTCAGATATATCACGCCCAAATGTAAACCCTAAAGCAGCAGCAGCAGCAGCAGCAACAGCAGCAGCAGCAGCAGCAGCAGCAGCAGGGAAGAACGGGAGATTAAGGCGGCCACCCAGTTACATAGATACATATGCAAACACAAGCAAACAACCCCAAACCCTAAACCCTAAACCCTAAACCCTAAACCCTAATCTTCCTTACCTGCACCGCGAGGAGACACCCCCCAACCCTCCAGTTGATCTTCCGGGTCCGACCAAAGCAAATCGCACATCGGGCCCTCATGAGGCACTTCCTGGTGCCTGTACATACACCTCAAACCCTAAACCCTAAACCCTAAACCCTAAACCCTAACTCTGAACCCTTGTCATCTCAACGCGCTCGGTTGCAGTGTACAGATATCTTCGGCAGCACCCCAAGAACAAACCCTACATCTAAGCCCTGCCAAACCCTAATCCCTAAACCCTAAACCCTAAACCCTACCTTTGCAGAGCCCTCACGGCGTCTAGCGAGTCCAGCTGAGGAGACAGCCCCGCATGGGGACAAAATATTTGTCCCTCGATCAACGCACTCAGCGGCAAATAGTCAAACACTCCTGCAAACCCCAAACCCTAAACCCTAAACCCTAAACCCTAAGCCGTAAACCCTCAGCCCTAGTACACCCTACTAGTAAACCTAGTAAACTCTGGGTGCTAAACCCTCAGCCACAGGCACTAGAATAAGCCAGTGTACGCCAAACCCTAAACCCTCGGAAACAAGTAGCTTACAAAACCCTAAACCCTAAACCCTAAACCCTAAACCCTCGGAAACCCACCTGTCAGGAGGCTCCACACATTGGCGTTGCCGTATTTCCGAATGCACTCATCGAAAAACCCGTAGACCTGCAAATGAAGAAGAAACCCTAAAACCCTAAACCCTAAACCCTAAACCCTAATCCGTAAAGGAGACAGTTGCTCTATAGAGCATAAGAGCAGCAGTTGCCTAGTAAACCCTAAACCCTAAACCCTAAATGGTAGAGCAAACAGGTATTTAATACAGAATAAAAGAAAGAGTTGCATAATAAACCCTAAACCCTAAAAGAGGGAACTGCTTAACAACATAAAAGACAGAAAGAGACAAACAAATCCCAAACCCTAAACCCTAAACCCTAAACCCTAAACCCTAAAAGAAGGCAAAAATGCCTCACTTGCGTTATTTGCCGGCTCTCATGGTTTCCTCTAATTATTGTAATCCGGTGGCGATACCGCACCTGCATATACACCCCAAACCCTAAACCCTAAACCCTAAACCCTAAACCCTAAACCCTAAATCGTGAAGCAAAAGCAGCAGCACTGACAAACCCATGGGGGCAACCCTAAACCCTAAAGCCCTAGACCCTAGACCCTAAACCCTCAGCCCTACAGAGATAGCCCCTAACTTCTAAACCCTAAACCCTAAACCCTAAACCCTAAACCCTCATTTGCTTACCTTCAAGAGGAAGACAAGGGTTACGCACTCCAAGGAGTTAAAACCTCTGTCGACATAATCCCCCAAGAAGAGAAAATTCACCGAAGGGCATGCTGCGCGCAAACCCTAAACCCTAAACCCTAAACCCTAAACCCTAAACCCTTACGGCAAACCAAGCCATAGCCCTAAACCCTAAACCCTCACAGGACAGACTGGATACACAGCGTTGAGATCCTCCAACCCCAAACCCTAAACCCTAAACCCTAAACCCTAAACCCTAAACCCTCACTTCCAGCGCATTTAAACATTTGCATAAGGTCATGAAATTGACCGTGTATATCTCCAACGACTGTCACCGGCGTATTGACGGGCTGTACATTTCCTTCTTCCATTAGAATCTCCTGAAACCACAAACCCTAAACCCTAAACCCTAAACCCTAAACCCTAAACCCTAAACCCTAAACCCTAAACCCTAAAACCCTAAAACCCTAAACCCTAAGCTGTAGAACCATCTCTTTGACTGGGAGGTATCAGCTGTTTCACTCTCGCAAGTCAAAGAACGCCTCTGCCCGCAACAACGCGCCAAACCCTAAACCCTAAACCCTAAACCCTAAACCCTAAACCCGAGGAAGTACTTTGAGTTTGTCGCAGAGTATCTTGATTCGGTGCTCTTTCAATTGTTTACACTTTAAGACAGTGTTTATATCTTCATCAAATGCCAGCAGCTCAAGGGGGCCTAAGTAGTGCTGCTGCAGCAGCGGGAGGTCGGCAACAGACAGAGGTAAGTGAGGCAGCTGCAGCAAACACTCCCCATCCCGATCTCCTGCTGCTGCTGCTGCTCCTCCTCCTCCTCCTGCTGCACCTGCTGCTGCTGCTGCTGCTGTTGTAGCTGCAGACGCGGAAGGTGTAGGGGGTGTAGAACCAGAGGAAGCCCCAGAAGCCGGTGCTGCTGCTGCTGCTGCTGCTGCTGCTGATGGTGATGGTGATGCTTCTGCTGCTGCAGCGGGAGAGTTGCTTGCTGCTGCTGCTGCTGTCATTCTCTAGACAGCAGGGAAATACTCCCGAACTCAATGCTGCTGCTGCTGCTGCTGCTGCTGCTGCTGATTCTCGGGCTTCTGGCGTGCTGCTGTGCAGAGCAATGCTGCTGCTGCAGCAGTGCAGCGCTGCCCCTGCTGCTGCTGCTGCTGCTGCTGCTGCTGTTGCTCAGCAAGCAATGAAATATCCTCAGGCGGGGCCCCTCAAGGGGCCCTACGCTGAGGAAGGTATGGCCCCATGTCACTCTGCTGCAACAGCTGCTGCTGCTGCTGCTGCTGCTGCTGCTGCTGTTGCTGCACCTACAGCCGCTGCTGCTGCTGCACCTACCCCTCCTGCTGCTGCTGATACACTGCTAGTACTAGCGCTGCTGCTAAAGCACCTTGACGGAGCAGCCTTTCCGACTTGCTGCTGCTGTTGCTGCTGTTGCCGTTGCTGTTGCTGCTGTTGCTGCTGCTGAACTCGCTCCTTTTGCTGCTGCTGCTGCTGCTGCTGGGAGCTTTGCAGTGTCTTCGGAACAGGAAGAGCAGCTGTTCGTCTGTGTGCAGCGGGTCCGGGGGGTTAGGGTTTAGGGTTTAGGGTTTAGCGTTTAGGGTTACAACCGCTTAGGGGGGGTGGTGACTGGTGCAGCGTACAGCTCCAGATACCAATAAAGATTAGGGTTTAGGGTTTAGGGTTTAGGGTTTGAGAGAGGCTTCTCACCATCCCCCAAGCTGTACAGCCTACCGCAGGGCGGCGGTTTGAGGTTTAGGGTTTAGGGTTTAGCGGTGGAGAGAAGCAAGACCTCCCTCAAAGGCTAGTGAAGCAGAGAAGTTTACTTTCTAGGGTTTAGGGTTTAGGGTTTAGGGTTTAGGGTTTAGGGCTTCGGGGAGCTCCGGTGTTGCTGCATGCGCTGCGCAGCTGCTGCGGCTGGCTGCTGTAGGAAGAAGCAGCAGCATATGTTTGCTGCTGCTTTTATAGGTGTTTATAAAATATAAAATAATAATAAATAAATATATTTTAATTAATTAAAGCAAAAAGAACAGAGGCACATCGCTCGCGTGTTGCAGACGCAACAAAACCCAACAACCTACGGCGCAAACCCTAAACCCTAAACCCTAAACCCTAAACCCTAAGGTGTCTGTACACCCCAGAAGACACCTCAGGCTTCCTCCTACTACACATTGTTGGGGTGTTTGCCTCCCGCATGCATTATGTCTATGCTGCTCTCAAGACAGCAAAACATAAGACCCCTTAGCTAGCTGCAAGCTAGCGTTAGCCAGCTGCTAGCTATCCATAGTTAGCCGCTAGCTACCCACAGCTACTTGCTAGCTAGCCGTAGCTAGCTGTAGCTAGCCGCTAGCTAGCTGTAGCTAGCCGCCAGCTAGCCATACATAGGCGCTAGCCTGCTATACGTAGATCCTTGGTACCCCTAACTAGGGGCGACCCAGACATAGTTAGCCGCTAGCTAGCTATAGCTAGCTGCTAGCTAGCTATAGCTAGTGATAGCTAGCTATAGCTAGCCGCTAGCTAACTGCTACCTAAAGATAGCTAGCTGCTAGCTAGCCACTGGCGAGCTGGGGCGCTTAAGAATGCACAAGGAGCAGGGTTTAGGGGCCTCCTGCAAAGAGCTAGGCGAGCGTGTAAACCCTAAACCCTAAACCCTTCTAAACGTTTGCTGCAGCAACGTTCATGTGTGCGTAAACCCTAAACCCTTGTAGACTTGTGCTATACCCCGCCTCAGCTAGCTGTGTTGCCTCTCTAAGAAAGCTGACAGAACGGCTAGCTGTAGGTGGCTGTAGCTAGCTGTAGCTAGCTGCAGCTAGCGGGCTCTAAGGAGTTGGGTTGTACACGAACAGAGAATCAGCAGTTAGCGAAAGCATGAGGGTTTAGGGTTTAGGGTTTAGGGTTTGGCGGAGCCAAGAGCGGAAAGGGCAAAGCATCTCGTTGGTCTCGCCGCCTGGACTAAACCGCTAGGGTTTAGGGTTTAGGGTTTAGAGCCTTGCTAGGGTTTAGGGTTTTTAAGCTCATCTATAGCAGCCTTAATAGCCTTCTGGTTAAGAAGGAGATTCAAAGAAAACTCTGCCTTCTGCGTGGTGCTAAGCGCGTCTGCAGACAAAAACAATTCAGGTGTATAGGCACCTCTAAATACACGCAAACAATTCAGGTGTATAGGCACCTCTAAATATACGCAAACAATTCAGGTGTATAGGCACCTCTAAATAGACCCAAACAATTCAGGTGTATAGGCACCTCTAAAACTCCACACAGACGCGTTGCAACTTAACACTAATCAAATGGTTTAGGGTTTAGGGTTTAGAGAGCAGCGATACAAACAGCGAGACACTTGGAAGCCTATCTGCGTACCCATCTATACACCAAGGGTTTAGGGTTTAGGGTTTAGGGTTTAGGGTTTACTCTAGTGCAGTACGTAACGACAAACGCGACAACCAGGTGAATATACACTAAACCCTAAACCCTAAACCCTAAAGCCCTAAAACCCTACACCTTAATAAATTCTAACAAACCCTAATAAGCATTCATTAACCTTAATAAACCCTAATAAACCCTAGTAAGCCTATATAAACCCTAATAAATCTTAGCAAACCCTCGAAACCCTAATAAACCCTCATAATCCCTCCTAAACCCCAAGAGACGTTATGCGTTGTCTTATTGCAAACCCTAAACAATAGTAAACCCTAACAAACCCTAACAAACTCTAATAAACCCTAATAAACCCTAATAAACCCTAATAAACCCTAATAAGCCCTAATAAACCCTCCTAAACTCTAATAAACCCTAACAAACCCTAATCGACCCTAACAAGCCCTAATAAACCCCCATAAACCTTAACAAACCCTCATAAACCCTAACAAAACCCACCGTATTTTTGGTTGCAGTAAGCCTGGAGGAGATTCTTTTCAAAGACACCGCAGACCTCAAGCCGACGAGGGTTTAGACGGGGCCTCACCAGGTTCGCCGCCAGCAAACCCTAAAATTCATACATGAACCCTAAACCCTAAACCCTACACCTTAAACCACAAACCCTAAACAATAAACCCTAAACCACAATCCTTCTCTTTGTATGCACCATTTTAAACCCTAATAAACCCTAATAAACCCTAATAAACCCTTATAAACCCTAATAAACCCTAATAAACCCTAATAAACCCTAATAAACCCTAATAAACCCTCATAAACCCTCATAAACCCTCATAAACCCTCATAAAACCCTCGTAAACCCTCATAAAACCCTCGTAAACCCTTACCAGGATGACAGTGTTGTTTATTTGCCCCAAGTCTTCGCACAGCACGTACGGTCTTCTTAAAAATTCCCGTATTGTCTCGCACACCTGCTCGCGCAAACCCTAAACCCTAAACCCTAAACCCTAAACCCTAAACCCTAAGCCCGAGACATCAAAACCTTGAACCCCAACCTCAACCCTAGAAATTTCAGACCCTAGACGCGAGCGTCGTAACGCTTCCGCAGCGAGCCCTAAACCCTTGACGGAAAACTAAACCCTAAACCCTAAACCCATGCTAAACCCTAAACCCTAAACCCTAAACCCTAGCTCACGACAACAAGGAAGTGGACTTCGCTTTTGCTGACTTCTCGCAGTTTTCGTACGAGAGGAAAATTTAAAAATTGAATTACTTTTCCTTCAAAACGACGAAACTCCTGCAACACCCAAACCCTAAACCCTAAACCCTAAACCCTAAACCCTAAACCCTAAACCCTGAAACTCAACTCTAGCCCATACACTCCAATGTAAAAGGAAGCGACTCGCAAACTAGTAGACATCTTCTCACTGGGAGACTGAAAATACCCTGAACCCTAAACCCTAAACCCTAAACCCTAAACCCTAAACCCTAAACCCTTACTTTGACGAGAAAAGTTTCTGACATTTTTCTGAGTCTTTCCTGTTGCATGCGCTGCACTTCAGCAAACTTTTTGAGTGTTTCTTCTTCAACAGTTTGCTGATACCCCCCGTCCTTTTTAGATAAAGAATAATAATTAACCCGCAATCGGCTTGCAGCACCTCGCAGCAGCTCTCCTTCATAAAAAGCATTTCCTTCTAACACACACATCTCCACCCCAGGGGCCCCCTCAGGGGCCCCCTGAGAACCCCCTTTAGGGGCCCCTTGGGGGGCCCCCTGAGAACCCACTTTAGGGGCCCCTTGGGGGGCCCCATGGGGGGCTTCATGAGGGGCCCCATGAGGAACCCCCTGAGGGGCCGCTTGAGGGGGCCCTTGGGGGGCCCCCTGGGGGGCCCCCTCGTAAGCCCCCTGGGGGGCCCCCTGGGGGCCCCCCTGGGGGCCCCCTAGGGTGGAGGGTTCATCGTCGAAGTCGCGGACGGGTTGCTGGGGTGTCTGATGAGTTGTTGCTGCTTTTTTTGAAAGAGATTGCAGGAAATTTATAGTGGCTTGCTCAAGGTCCCTGCAAAATACACCCCAAACCCTAAACCCTAAACCCTAAACCCTAAACCCTAGTCGTAATTCGTGCTTAAGATTCATACACCATACAAATCAAACCCTAAACCCTAAACCCTAAACCCTAGTCGTACATCGCAGCCGCCGCAGTGCGCCAGGCGGACGTTTGGTTGAACCAGCCCAAACCCTAAACCCAGAACTCTAGACCCTATAACCTTAAACCCTAAACCCTAAACCCTAAACCCTAAACCCTTACTCAAAGATGAGGCGGAGCAGCCTGGGGTTTCCCCCCACAGCCAAATAAGAGGCCTCGGCGACGCTCCAGTCTGTGCAGAGAAGCGGCTTAAACAAATCCCTGAAGTCGCAACAAACCCTAAACCCTAAACCCTAAACCCTAAACCCTAAGTTCCAGTCGCATAGCCGTAATAAGCTCGAAACCCTAAACCCTAAACCCTGACGGATTGAAGGGAATGAGGGAACGAGCGCACGCGTGAATCTGCAAACAGCTGATGCCAAACCCTAAACCCTAAACCCTAAACCCTAATCCAGACCTGACTTCAGCCTTGCTGAGTTCGTCTATCTCCACCACCTCAACCCCCTTTAATGCTTCTTGTTGAGGTGCATGTACACCGCAAACCCTCAGCAGTGTAAGACCATCAGCAACAGAAAAAACCGTACGTGTATGGCGCCCCGCCTGAGCCTCAACCACAGCAACTCTAGGGTTTAGGGTTTAGGGTTTGGGGTGGGAGCAGATAATTCTCTTTTTAAAACCCTCAGCGGCCCTCACACAACAGCGCTGCGCGCGTCGCGCCCCCCAAACCCCAAGCCTTAAACCCTAAACCCTAAACCCTAAACCCTAAACCCTACTTGCTTGGCGGCCGCGAGGAGGTTATCAAAAAATGAAGCACCCCCAAGTCGTAAAGGATGCCCCAGCAGCAGCGCCTCGGGGCAGCGCAGCAGCAGAGTCACGGGCCGCTGCAGCACAAACCCTAAACCCTAAACCCTAAACCCTAAACCCTAAACCGCACATTTCCACGACTACACCGAAGGCGGCTCAGGGGAGCCACACGGACAGAAGGGGAAGCTCTAAATAAATCTAGGGTTTAGGGTTTAGGGTTTAGGGTTTGGTATCCCTGCTTGCCTTTGTGAATTTCTCCGCGAACTCCATCGAGGCGTACAGACAGTCCAGCCACTGCAGCAAACCCTAAACCCTAAACCCTAAACCCTTAGAAAGCCCTAAACCCTAGACCAAACTGAAATGCGTTTACCGACACAGACGATTGTGAGCGATATATTTGCTCCTTAGGATTTAGGGTTTGATGCTTCAAGCTAGGGGTTCGACCTAGGGTTTAGGGTTTAGGGTTTAGGGTTTAGGGTTTAGGGTTGGCGTGCCTCTTTCGCCGCGTCTGCCGTCGGGTTGTCAGTACAATTAAAAACAGCAGCATCCCTCAACAGCAGCAACGCCGCTCTGCACACAACCCTAAACCCTAAACCCTAAACCCTAAGCCCTAAGCCCTCAACCTGCCCAAGCCCCTAACCCTATACTGTAAGACGCAAACCCTCTTCTCTGGAGATGGTCTTCTCTTGGTGTCTAACCCTAAACCCTAAACCCTAAACCCTAAACCCTACGCAATTGCTGCCTGGGGTTTTGCTGACGACTTGTTGTTGGCCCCGAGCACAAACTCAAGGAGACTATCCCAAGCGTCTGTAGCCTGCAGCAGCAGCAGCAGCAGCAGCAGCAGCAGCAGAAGCAGCAGAAGCAGCAGCAGAAGCAGCGGCAGCAGTGGAAGGTAAGCGGAAGCAGCCGAAGGGACGAGAGGAATAAGCAGCAGCAGCAACAGAAACAGCAGCAGCAGCAACAGCAGCAGCAGCAGAAACAGCAGCACCAACAGCTGCATCAGCGGCCGCAGGAGCTGCACCAACAGCAGCAACAGCAACAGAAGCAGAAACAGCAACAGCAGCAGAACGAGCAGCAGCAGCAGGAACAGCAGCGGCAGCAGCAGACACAACAGCAAAAGCAGCAGCAGAAGCAGCAGCAACAGCAACAGCAGCAGCAGCAGCAGCATACCCCATCCTCAAGTTTTTTCAGCACAGAAGTAATTAGATTTGTCTCTCTTGGGTTTAGAGACAGCCAGTCCAAGGGAACTGCTGCTGCTGCTGCTGCTGCTGCTGCTGCTGCTGGTTGCTGCTGCTGCTTCCCTGCTGCTGCTGCTGCTGCTGCTTCTGCATAGCGGAGAGCAGCACTAACGCCAGCAGCAAACGAAGGACAAGCAGCAGCAACATGCTGCAGCAGCAAAGACCTGAGCAGCAGCAAACACAAACCTACCTAAAATAGGGTTTAGGGTTTGCATGGATTAGGGTTTTTAGGGTTTAGGGTTTGTAGAAATTAGGGTTTTAAAACCCTCATCCAGCCTTGACGCGCGAAGAGGGAGCATCAGCTGCTCCGTCCCAGCCACACCCGGTGCCTAGGGTTTAGGGTTTAAGGTTTAGGGTTTAGGGTTTACGGGTTTATATCGCTGCATGCAGCCCCAAGCTGCCTCGCGGCTGCGGCCCTGGCGACCCCCAGAAAACCACTGAAGGAGCGCTGAGCCATCATACTGACATCGAAGGCCAGCAGCTGTACATACACCTCAAACCCTAAACCCTAAACCCTAAACCCTAAACCCTAAACCCTAAACGCTAAACGCTATAAGCTTCGCCTTAAGACTTCAGGGAGGGAGCGGATGTGTGTATCCCTGATGCTCCTTTTCTTGCCGCGCAAACCCTAAACCCTAAATCCTAAACCCTAAACCCTAAACCCTAAACCCTAAACCCTCACGATTGGGGGTTTATGTTTGTCTTGCGTTAGACGGGCGGCTGCATCTCGAAGGAGCGAAGCCTTCCCACTTCCCTCAGGACCCGCTAGCACCAGCAGCCCTAAACGCAAACCCTAAACCCTAAACCCTAAACCCTAAACCCTAATCCGAAGGCCCTAAACCTTAGGCCTGTTGCTAGGACAAGACGACGGGGAGAGTCAGTTGATTCTACTTCTCTAAACTAGGGTTTAGGGTTTAGGGTTTAGGGTTTACGGGTGTTGTCTCTGTCTCCTTTTAAAAAGGCGTCGAGGGTTTTAGAGGCCTCCGCCCGCCTAATAAAACCCCACAACGGCCCTTGAGGGTTTCTTGCTGCCTTTGCTGCTGCTGCTGCTGCTGCTGTTGCTGCTGCTGCTGCTGCTGCACCCTTAGCAGCTAATCGCGGTGCTACAGCTACCGCAGCCCTTCCTGTTGCTGCTGCTGCTGTTGCTCCTGTTGTAGAAGTGCTGTACGCAGCTGCTGCCCTAACCACGTACTGCTGCTGCTGCTGCTGCTGCTGCAGGTGCTGCTGCAGCTGCTGCTGCTGCAGGGCGCTGTATGCAGCATGGCGGTGGTTTATAAAAACCCTCGAAGCGTGCTGAGGTAATGAAGTGCGCACAGAGCGCAGCACCATCCCTAAACCCTAAACCCTAAACCCTAAACCCTAATTTCTAAACTCTTACCCTAGCCATACATCACAGAACGAGCATTCGAGAGAAACGACGCACGCACGCGTCGAACCCTAAACCCTAAACCCTAAACCCTAAACCCTGAAACACTAAACCCTTTAGAAGGGACAGCAACTTTTGTGTTTATTCTGCATCATAATATATTAATATCTCAGTTTCATGCTGCTGCTGCTGCTGTTGCTGCTGCTGCTGCTGTTGCTGCTGCTGCTCGAGACCCATGGGGGCCCCCCAAGGGGCCCCCTGGGGGCTCTCCCTGATCGGTGTTGTGCCTAAACCCTAAACCCTAAACCCTAAACCCTAAACCCTAAACCCTAAACCCTAAACCGTATAACTGTAAACCCTAGACGCTAGTTCGAGAATAAGACATCCGGGGAATGTCTGCGTGTGGAGAAGCATCGAAGGCCCGCGTTGCACGAGGATGAGGGTTTAGGGTTTAGATAGGGTTTAGGGTTTAGCTAGGGTTTGGGGTTTAGAGAGGGTTTGGGGTTTAGCTAGGGTTTAGTTTTAGAGACTGATAAGGGTTTATGGAGGGTCTAGGGTTTGTAGAGGTCTGGGGTTTAGCTAGGGTTTACGTTCAAGCGAGGGTTTAGGGTTTAGATAGGGTTTAGGGTTTAGAGAAGATCCAGTGTTTAGAAAAGGGTTTAGGGTTTAGGGTTTAGGGTTCATTGAGAGGCCCAGTGGGGGTTTGAGCCCCAAGGGTTTATAATCTACAAATAAATATAAAAATGCGGGGTTTAGGGTTTAGGGTTTAGGGTTTACGCTGCTGCTGCGTCGAACGCAGCAGCACCCCAGCGCCTCAGAAAACCCTAAACCCTAAACCCTAATAAAACCCTAAACCCTAATAAACCCTAAACCCTAATGCCATCCTCCGCCTAATGCCTCGTCAAGACAATAACTAATTCAACTCGCCGCTGCAGCAGGATCTGCTTCTGCTGCAGCAGCTGCAGCAGCAGCAGCTGCTGCTGCTGCGTCTCTAACTGCAGCAGCTGCCGCTGCTGCACGTAGTGCTGCTGTTGCTGCAGCTGCTATTGCAACCCTTGCTGTAGCCGCAGCTTCTGCTACAGTTGCTGTTGCAGTTGCTGCTGCAGTTGCTGTTGCAGTTGCTGTTGCAGTTGCTGCTGCAGTTGCTGCTGCAGTTGCTGCTGCAGTTGCTGCTGCAGTTGCTACTGCAGTTGCTGCCGCTGCAGCGGTTGCTATGGTGTTTGCGGGTTACCTGTTGAAGTGTGCGCCTGCTGCACCCCCGTAAACCCTAAACCCTAAACCCTAAACCCTAGGTTCGGGCGTATAAGAGACGCAGGGCCTCAGCAGCAAAATGTTTTGCTGTTAACTGAGCTTCTTCTAATTGCTGCTGCCTTGTTGCTGCTTCAATAAATGCATCGGGGAGACACAAAGACCTCAGCTGCACCGCACATAAACCCTAAACCCTAAACCCTAAACCCTAGGGGTGAGGGTTTACACCGCTTTGCATGCATGCACAGCACTAAAGGATCTTCTTAACTCAGCACAAACAAACAAAAACACAAAAATAAGTCGGTGGTTGTAATATAATAATATGCATTCTAATACATATATTTACTTATTTATTTATATTTATTTATTTATTTATTTATATTTATTTATTTATTTATATTTATTTATTTATTTATATTTATTTATTTGTTTATGCGTTTGTTTGTTTGTTTATATTTGTGTTTATATATTTTTATTTATTTATTTTTATTTTTATATTTGATTTTCAGAGCCAAGTGCATTCACCTATGATATGCAAATAATATATAATATTATATATATAATATATATAAATATATATATTATATATATATTATATA